CTCTCTCTCTCTCACACACACACACACACACACACACACACACACACACGAACACACATACTTGCTGGGGGGGAGCGGGGAGCTGGCTCTATAAAAAAATTCAGCACAATGGAAGTGATGCCTATATGATCAGCAGACTCCAGACAACTTGCTTGCTACTGGCATTGCCCAAGTTCAGCAGGTGGACCCTTACTGTCATGAGCACGTTTGACAGACACAGCATGAGCTATTAAGAATTCAGAAGATGAAATGGGATCGAAAAGAGAAGGCAAGATGATATGGGATAGGAACAGGCTTTGAAAAGATGAACTGTAATAACTTCCTCTTCCCCCAACTGAGCTGAGTCGTGACAAGTTAAGCCTACCCCGGGGAAGGGATCTCCCTGCAGTATCTCCAAGAGGTGCACCCACAGCTGCCACTGAACCCTCAGTGCAGTAGAAAATTCATTACTTCACAGGACAGACTTCCCGCTATTGGCCAATTCTTAGTATGATAGAGAGTTTTGCCCTACCCTTCTTTTGAATCAAAATCTGCCTTCTTGTAACTTAAGCTAATTTGTTCACCTTCTTTCCCCAAAGTGGAAAGGTATCATCTGCACCCCAGCCAGCCATCCCATCCACCCACTTGGGTATGAAGGAGAGCCAACTGAGAGGCAGAAACTAAAGGGAAACGGGAATTGGAGGAAAGAGGCGGTGACTCTCCCTGCTCATGAGTCAGGGGTTTCTCACCAAGACTGGGCATCAGAACTGTATCAGTAGCTATTGAAAAGGGCAGATGTCTGGGCCCAAACCTATTGAACCACAAAAATATCAGAGATTCACCAAGGCAGTTGTAGTTTGAAAAACTCCCACATAAGGAACTTTGCACTAGATCAAATCTTACATATATTCCCAGGGCCCAACACATACTAGGTGCTTCGTTTATGTTTGTGTTTGAAAATGCCAATTTGAACCAACTCTACAGAGTTGGAGGAATTAGTAATAAACCCCTTGGTAGGGCCTGAAGAGAGGGAAAGATGTATTGGGTTGTCGTAAAAGTCATGACGTATTTTGTCTGTTTTTCAAAGGTCATTTATTTATATACAGAACAAAGATCAATCAATGATAT